GGGGGGGGAGCAGTGTCGGGCAGGCTCCCCTCAGCCCTTCTGGAGGAGGTGAAGAGCAGCGGGAGGAAGGCTCAGGGATGTGTGTGGGCCTGGCAGGCTCAGGGAAAAGAGCCAGTTTCCCAGGGGGGGAACTGGCCGATGGGATCACAGGCTCTGAACCCGCTGGAACAAAGCACAAAATACAACCAGCACATTGAAACCAAATCCCTGAGGAGACAGGGTGGTAAGGCAACCGCCGAAGGACTTGGCTGCTCCCCTTGGTAAGTCTTGCACCTGCCTGGTGGAGTGGGCCCTCATGTACAGCCCGTTCCCCTTTTAGCAAGTACTGTCCACGGAGCTGGGAGCTGGACGGGGCTCGGTCAAGTTCAGCACTCTGCAACCAGCTCTTCTTTCCTCACTGCCAGAGGTGCCACCTCGTTCGTAGTTTTGCACCGGCTGCTGTGCAAAGCTTGGCAGGAGATGGAGCAGAAGAAGAGGGAGACTCCCCCTTTGCTTGTTCCCTTCACAGGAACAGCGCTGGGACCAGCGGAGCAGCTTGGACTACAATACATGAGAAGGGAAGGAAGCTATTGGAAATAACCTGATGAGCACAAAGACATCCCCTTGCTTGGGATGTTTTGTGAAGTTTCTAGGCTGGGGTCCTGTCTCCTTCACCCCAGAACGCTTCCTACAGTTGCAGCTTTACTGATGGTAGCACCACTGGTGGGTGTGAGGTAGCATCTGATGCTTTAGTTATGCAGGTGCTGGAGCACTGGTGAGAGCAGAGCGAGCATCAGTACAGCTGCTTGGGCCAGTGAGCAGCTTCTGGAGAAGCTTCCCCAGCTGGGGGAAATGGTGTTCCAGCTCTGCTGCTGTGCAGGCATCGCATCTCTTCTGACTTTTTGAGAAGAGAGGACCAAAGTTTGTAGCATTAAGAGACTTAACTGGGATGAAGAACAGCAAGGAGCGGAGCGTAGGAAGGCATCACTGCCTTCTCTAGCTCAGTCAAGGACGGACTAGATGTGCTTTAGTACTCACTGGCCAGTTTCTCCAACACCTCCTGGGCTTAACAGCATGGGCTGCCCTACTTCCTAGCGCTTTCCTTGCGGATTATCCCTGTCCACAGCTGGAGGCGGCGTTTTTTTGTACTCCATGGGACTAAAGCCAGAAGGTCTGTGTACAGGATATGGACTTCTTACTCATGCGCTGCTGTTGACTGGATCAAAGCGTGCCCTGGAATAGAGCTGACGTCCCAAAATCCCAGTAGAAAGATGCCTACGCAAACGGAACCGCTTGTGTGAACAACAGCCCTCAAGCGACCGGTGGGACTGGGATCTGCAGCTATTGCTGTTTAGTACCTTAGAGTTAGAAGAAGGTAGTGGGTAGTTACTGTATGTTGTGTTAGTGCTTTTGGCATTTAGAAGCAGCTGTGTAGACTTGGGATGCTGTGTGCATTGAACCTCTTGGCCATGCAAAATGCCTGCCAGGTAAGAATATTGGAAAGAGTTGAACGAGGACACATCACGACTTGATTTGTTTGGGTTTTTTTTTTTTTTGCCTAAGAAGTAAATCAAATGGAGAGGCATACATCCAACAGCAGGCTAACTTCTGGAGCCTCCCAACAACACATGCCTGCCAAGCTGCTTTTAACATGTCCAAAACATGATACTGAGCAACTAAAACTTGTGCTTAAGAGGAACCTTCCTGTTCAGATGGAAGAGCCGAGCTCAAAGAGGGAAACCTTTTCCCTGTGAGGCAGGAAACAACCAAGTGCAGCCTGGAGAGCATCATGGATTAGAGCAAGTGGTGCTGCATCTGGGACCTGGAGCGTGGCCCCCTGCGGCTGTCGCTCTCGCCCTGCACACCACCTGCAGGAGCAGCTGCCGTGGCCTCAGCGCAGCGCTTCGGCTGTAGTTGTTGGTGTAGGTATGTGAAGTGTGATTCTTTGTGTGTTGGGGGGGGTCACATGAATGTATACAGAGACTGGTGGTTGGTTTGGGAGGGTGGGAAATGGTGTTTCTGGGAAAGACAAGTAAAAGTGACCACAGTCTTGCAGAAGAAGGAAACGGAGGATCTTCTTAATGCTGTCCTCCCATCTGTCTTGGCTGCTGGTCCTAGGAACTTGGCTATGACTCTGAGTCTGTAGCTGGCTGCCTGATCAGCACACCTTAAGCCAGCGTCCAGCAGGGGAGAGAAACGAGTGACTGCACTATGTGAGAGCAGTTCTCTGAAGACCTCTTGATGGTTCAATCAGGTGGGAGGGCAGGGGCAGCAGTTACAGCTTTCCAAAAGAGCTTTAAATCAGGTGAGGTCAGCTTCCTCTGGTCCTCTGCTCAGCAGCTGCCTCTGCAAAACTTACCAACAGTGAGCCACTTCTAGTTTTGCCAATGTCTTATGCTCCAACGTAGAACAAAGCGTGGGGGAATAGCCATGTAAGAGATTGCATGCTACTTGATACCTAGTCCTGAAAGGGAACAGGTTAAAAAGCTGTCGTATTTTCATGCTTCTTGCTCCATCTTGCTATAAATGGACTGTGTAGGAAGTATGGAAGTGGACTGGGGCTCTATACCTCTTCTACAACTAAGAAAGAAGGAGCAAATGGATGCCCCTGCCTGGCAATGGCAAGTTGCTGCAGGAGAAGCATGGCCAGGCCCACTTGATGAAGTGAATTTGTAGCAGGTGAGGTCTAGGATGGAGTTTCTCCGGGTGGCGTAAGGACAGAGCCCAAGCAGAACATCTGCAGCACTGCCAGAACCCAGCTGTGGCTGGTTGTCTTTGCTCGGGTATGAACGGAGGGAAAGGGAAGAGGATGCGGAAACTCTTGTACAGAACTGGTCCTTAAGGACGGGATTGCTGGCATCACAGCCGCAGCTGGCAGCTGAGCATATAATTTGGGATCAAAAGCCTGAGGCATCGCTTCAGGCTCTGCTACTGATCTGCTGAGGGGAAAAAAAACCACCTCCATCTCCACAGGGCCTCGGTTTCCTTGTCAAATGATGAGAACGGCCTTGGAATGATGTCCTCTCCCAGGGGAGACTGCAGTGAACGACCTGTGCTGGTCCAGCGCGGCACAGGGCTGGGAGGCACGTTCCCAAAGGGCTGTTCTTGGAGCTGCCACAGGCTGGGATTAAGGCTGACCCCCCCCTTCTCTGCGAGAGACGGACCCAAACCCTCATGTTCATAGAGCCCTCGCTTTCCAGGGTGAAGAAAGCTCATCATCCTCATAACCCTACTTCTTGTTTATGCCTAACCAAGAGCTGGTGACAAAGGAGAGGCTCTGTCCTAAACTGGCCTCTCCTTCCTGGTCCAGGGTTTTTACTCGGGGACGGGGGGAAAGGGAAGGGGGGAGAATGGGACACTTGAGTTTATACCTCATTTTAGCTGCTGTACCTGAGTTTAGAGTTTATTCTTTCTCCTCTGGTTAAGAAAGTGACTGTACTTAACACCAAGCAAATAGTGAAAATTAAAGCTGTTTCACTTCACTGTCACAATATCTTTCTTTTTTTTTTTTTTATTATTTTTTTTTAAGAAACGCACACAAAAACCGTGCAGAGAGCGCTTCAGGCTTGTGTTCTGCTTTAAAGGCAAAAAAAAAAAAAAAAAAATTCCTTTCAATATAAAAAAAAAAAAAGCATTACAGTAGGGAATACAGGATAAATTAGCTCCACTATCTAATAAAAAGAACATTTACAGTTTGTTTTTTTTTTAAAATAGATTTCAAACATTATTTCACACGCAGCCCTTTTTCCCAGGCATTCGTGCCAGTCGTTTGAGCATTAAATAACAGCTGGGAGGCAGGGGTGCCCAGAAGGGCTGAGACTTGCAGGCACGGGCTGCTCTCTCCTATTTCCATCCAAGGTGCTTGGGATTCTGGTCCCGAGCTCTCCAGCGAGCCCCCAAAATTCACCAGAGCTGTTAAAAACACATATAAAAATACACTTGCTTCTACCTACTGTTCTGAAAACTACTGTACAACGGAGGGGGCAGCTGTAGAACCGAGGGACGAGACCAACAAATTTACATGCTGTGCCATACAGGGGGAGTCTGCTTTCTGGGCTTCCCTGTGCATTAAATTCCTCCTCCTTCCCGGGGGGAAAAAAATTCCTTCTGCCTCTTCCCAACTTCCACAGGTCCCCCGCAGCCCTGCATGGATCTTTACGGCTATCTCCAGTTCTGGTTTAAAAGGTGCTGCCTGGCTTGTGCTGGGGTTTCCAGCTGTGTTCCCAGCCAGCTGCAGGGAGGATGGCTTCATCCCGAAAAGAGCAAATGGGGGATCAGATAAGGTAAGAGAGGAGAAACAGCTGTGCTAAGGCTGGGAGAACAGGCAGGTAGGAGACATCTTTGAAGATACAGGGACTACCATTATGGAATTAAAGAAGGGTTTGGGTTGGAAGGGACCTCGAAGACCATCTAGTTCCAAACCCCCCTGCCATGGGCAGGGACACCCTCCACTACCCCAGGTTGCCCAAAGCCTAGGAAAAAGGGAAAGTGAGAAACCTAAAAACGGAGGAAGCAATGAGTACAGAATTAGGAAAGCCCAAGAGAAATGAGCCAGTGGAGATCCTACTTCAGACGTGTGTATTTACCACTTAGATCTCTGGCTGCTTTGGTCCTGTTCCCCCAGCTCTGGCAGGTTGTCTCCATGCCACTGGTGGCAGAAAAAGGTTTTAAGGTTTTTCTTTTTTTTTTTTTTAATTTCCTTCAGCCACCCACGATGCACAAATCAGATTTATTCACCTCCCAGGCTCTGACGTGCAACAGCCAGGCCTTTGTGTAATAAACGGTGGGGAAAGGAAAAAATTGGGAGGCTGGAGGAGGCAGTCTTGCTTCCCTCCCTCACCTCCAGCCAGATTACCATCTCTGCCTGGGGTTTTATTCCTCCCCTGGGAATTGCTCTCCCAGAACAGCCACTGCCACCAGCTCCCGAGGCAGAAGCAGAACAGATAAGCTCACCTTCTGCTCAAACTGGTCCCTGCAAGATGAGTAGATGCAACGGATTTTTCCCATCTGAAGTGCAGCACCTGCCGCTGGGTACAAATACTGCTGCTTTTTGGCTGGCAAAACCGTTTTCCTTCATTAAACAACAGGGTAGAATTTAATGCTAAAACACCTCGTTAAAAGCAGATCCAGAGGGAAATAGTTCAGAAAAGCTTTCCACGAGGTTTAATGCAACATCTGAGGCTGCTCAGCAGCCCTGGCCTCCTATTCCGTCCCTGGAATATGCTGACTGCGGCACGGGCAGGGGGCTGCAGCTCTCCCTGCCTGGGCTCTCTCCTGCTGATAAGCAAAGAGTTGTTCTCAAATGAAGCCTGGGGAAGCTCCAATGCCTCCTTCCTCTCCCTCAGTATCCTGATCCCCCAAACTGAACGTTTAGCCAGGACTGTTGTCTATTATGGACCAGTCTTTCTGCTGCTTTCCCTCATTCCATCCCCGTAGCCCGTGCAGTGCCACTGGCAGAGCTGACGGGACACAGCCCCGGGATGGAAGGGAACAGCCAGGCAAAGTGTCCCTGCTGCTGTCAGACCTGGGCACGAGGGTATGGCTTGGCTCCTTGCCGCTGCCTTCTGCCCCCTCGTCTTCCTCGCCAGTGCTGACAGCTTTCAGAGGGGCTAGTTGAAGCCTGTATTAAAATGCTCCATGACCTGAGCCTATAAAATCCGTACAAAAGACCTAAACTAACCAAGAAACCACAGCCCCTTCTGTCCTCCCCCAAACACAACGAGTTTGGGGTCAGGGAGTGACAGATGAACAATTAAGGCAACAGAGAGAAACCTGTCTGGGTTGATGGCCATGACTGCTGGAGCAGTCTGGCTGCAGGCTGGGTGCTCTTAGAGCCTGCCTGGATCCTCAGCAGTTCCATCTTCATCTCTGACCAAGGTCCAACCCCAAGCATCATTCTCAAGTTTGCTTCCCAATCATTAAGTAGGGGATACATTAGCTAAACACCAAACTATCTGACTTGATGTTTTCCGTCTGAGCCCATGGGAGGATCTCGGAGCAAATCCGCTGAGCAGAGATGACCCCACAAGACTGTTGCAGGTGAACATGACCAACCTCAGCCTCCTCCATCCAGCACCACGCCTGGAACTCCCCTTAGGGCTGGAAAGCATGTAGGGATCCGCTGCAAACATGTATGCTAATAGCACCACAAACTGGTTTTTTTTGCAAGGATGAACAGAAAGGCAAAGGCCGACAAGATTTAAACACTATTTCCTCCCCTTCTCAGGAAGGCAGCAGTATCAATGATCCTTGACCAGAGTCGTCATTTTTTTTTCCCCAGGAGACGGAAATACAGCAGGGAACCATTCGCTCTCTTTCATTTTCACAAGGAACAGTAAATCTTGGTAAAAAGAGCAAGGTGGGCACCAAACTCTTGACCAGCAGCCAGCCTTAGCTGAGTCCCATTGCTGAGCGAGCCCATGCTGCCCCTGCTTGGGGCTCCAGAGACAAGCTGGCCTCCTCGAAGCGCCCAACTTCTCCAACAAGAGTTTCAGGGCAAAGCTTCCACTGAAGAACGTGTGTTTTCATTCGGTGGCTGGGCGTTAGAGCCGGAATCGCGCCAACGACGACTACCCACTTCTGAGATGA